ATAATTCCATCCATCAATCCATCCATCCATCCATACATTAATCCATCCATAATTCCATCCATCGATACATCCAGCTGTCCATCATTCATTCACTTACAGTCAGTTGAAATGAGTTTCCTCTGCAGGGTAGCTGGAGAGTTGAGGTGGTTAATCTGGTAAGGATGGATGGATGGATGGATGTTGGATGTTGTTGGATGGATGGATGGATGGATGGTTGGTTGGTTGGATGGATGGATGTATGGATGGATGGGTGGATGGATGGTTGATGGATGAGGGGTTGGATGTATGGATGGAGACCTTTCGAAGAAAAGACGAGAAAAATAATTTTATAAACTTGTGTTGTCTGGAGAATAATTTTAATGGACTCTAACCTGAAACAAATCCTGTCCTTTGCTACAGCAGCTGCGAGTTTTACAGCCGCCTCTGTCAGGGGGAGTGTGTGTGTGTGTGTGTGTGTGTGTGTGTCTGTCAGGGGGAGTGTGTGTGTGTGTGTGTGTGTGTCTGTCAGGGGGAGTGTGTGTGTGTGTGTGTGTGTGTGTGTGTGTGTGTGTGTGTGTGTGTGTGTGTGTGGCTCAGAAGCATCATCAGTGTGAATGAACAGCTCTCCTTTGGAGAACAAGGACATATGTTGCATCCAAACGAAGATGCTCTGCTTCAGCTGCGTGGCCGTAACCATGGCAACAGACGGGACACCGCGGGTGTGAAAGATGCTCTGTTTGCTCCAACCTGAAACACATTTCAGCACGTCTCTGTTTGAGTTGGTTTACAGGAGAGAGAAACTCTGAGGAGAACGTGTGGTTCCACACGTCACATGTTCTCTGAACGTTCTCTGATCTCATCATGGTTCTCCTGTCTGTGGGTGTTTCCTCTGCAGGGGTGATTTTACTTCTCCTGGATCGGCTGCGGAAGCTCAGGTGGGAGCAGATGTGGAGGCTGACAGCAGAGAGGGAGCTCATGAGCATGTTGTCCACCTCGCTGGCTGACCAGGTCTCACACTCACACCTTCTACTCGTTCAGTCACTGAGCAGAGTTGCAAAACCAGGTCCAGACTCCGTCTGAGGAATGTGTCTGATAGAACGGGACGATGCTCGGGACAAGTTCAGCTGCATCAGACACCGTCATGGTCCACACGTATAACATGGTGACTGAGCAGAAACACACTGTCCATTTGAACTCTCCCAAATTAAGAACTTAGCCTACAGTCTTTGGACACATGTCCAGCTGTTTGGTGTCGTTCTACAAAACATCTGGATAAGCTGCAGATCTTTCAAAATAAAGCTGCAAGATCAGCACGTGGCTGTCATTTTAGAGCTCATGAATCAAAACCTGTCCTGGATGAAGGTCAGTGACAGACCAAAGCACCCTGTGTTGTCATCGTTGGATGTTTCCACAAAAACAAGAAGTTCGTTCTTCATCATCACACCTCAGGTACACCCAGGTGGAGTGGGCAGCTATGTAAGCAGGTAGGGATTAGATGTCTTGCTCAGACTCACCACAACATGTGGGCATGGCAAGGAGTTGAACCTGCAACTTTCTGGTCCCAGGTCAGCTGCCCTACTTCTACCCAAGGGAATACGTCTCGATCTCCTACAGTTATAATAAATATAACATTTATAATAAACATAACAACAGTTATAATAAACATAACAACAGTTATAATAAATATAACAACATTTATAATAAATATAACAACAATTATAATAAATATAACAACAGTTTTAATAAATATAACATTTATAATAAACATAACAACATTTATAATAAACATAACAGTTTAAATAAATATAACAACAGTTTAAATAAATATAACAACAGTTATAATAAATATAACATTTATAATAAATATAACAACAGTTTAAATAAATATAACAACAGTTTAAATAAATATAACAACAGTTATAATAAATATAACAACATTTATAATAAATATAACAACATTTATAATAAATATAACAACAATTATAATAAATATAACAACATTTATAATAAATATAACAACGGTTTTAATAAATATAACAACAGTTATAATAAATATAACAACATTTATAATAAATATAACAACATTTATAATAAATATAACAACAATTATAATAAATATAACAACAATTATAATAAATATAACAACAGTTATAATAAATATAACAACAGTTATAATAAATATAACAACAGTTTTAATAAATATAACAACAGTTATAATAAATATAACAACAGTTATAATAAATATAACAACAATTATAATAAATATAACAACATTTATAATAAATATAACAACAGTTTTAATAAATATAACAACAGTTATAATAAATATAACAACAGTTATAATAAATATAATAGCAGTTATAATAAATATAACAGCAGTTATAATAAATATAACAACAGTTATAATAATTATAACAACAGTTATAATAAATATAACAACAATTATAATAAATATAACAACAGTTATAATAAATATAACAACAGTTATAATAACTATAACAACAGTTTTAATAAATATAACAACAGTTATAATAAATATAACAACAGTTATAATAAATATAACAACAGTTATAATAAATATAACAACATTTATAATAACTATAACAACAGTTTTAATAAATATAACAACAGTTTTAATAAATATAACAACCGTTTTAATAAATATAACAACAGTTTTAATAAATATAACAACAGTTATAATAAATATAACAACAGTTATAATAAA